TCCATTACAAGACTCTTCCTTTACTATTTCAGAAAACTGACTTAGATCATCACATATTTCCTGATCCTTGTCAAAGTGATTTCTAAACTGTCTAGGGTCTAACCCACTTCAATAAGACAATAGAGATCTATAGTTTAAAAAGACATAAACATGGGGTGCCTGGGTGTCTCAGTTGGTTAAGCATTGGACTCTTGATTTCAGCTCAGGACATGATCCCAGGGTCCTGAGATTGAGCCTCACGTCAGGCTCTGCGCTGAGAGTGTTGCCTGCTTAAGATTCTCTCTCTCCCTCTCCTTCTGCCCCTTTCCCCTCTCCCCAGCTCGTACTCTCAAATAGATATATACATTCATACATACATACATACATACAGAGATATAACTAGGGGTGCCTGGCTGGCTCAGTTAGTAGAGCATGTGACTATTGATCTTGGAGTCATGAGTTCAAGGCCCACGTTGGGCACAGAGCTTACTTAAAAAAAAAATTTAAACTTTTGCTCTGCAAAAGACCCTGTTAAGTGCCAAGACAATTCAATGGAGGAAAAGACAGTCTTTTAAACAAATTGTTCTGGATATGCAAATGAATGAAGTTACCTTACACCATTGGCAAAAATTAACTGAAAATGTATCAAAGACCTAAAAGGGAAGAGCTAAAGCTCTAAAACACCAAAGGTATATAAATGGCCAATACGCACATGAAAAGACACTCAACATCACTGATCATTAGGGAAATGCAAATCAAATGGCTACAGAAAATAACTGGTGAGGATGTGGAGAAATTACAGCCCTTCCTACACTGCTAGTAGGAATGTAAAATGATACAACTGCTCTGGAAAAAGGTTGATGGATTCTTTAAACATGCAGGGGTGCCTGGGTGACTCAGTCAGTTAAGCGTCGGCCTTCAGCTCAGGTCATGATCCCAGGGTCCTGGGATCGAACCCTGCATCAGGCTCCCTGCTTGGCTGGGAGTCTGCTTCTCCCTCTCCCTCTGCCCCTCTCCCTGCTTGCGATCTCTCTCTCTCTCTGTCAAATAAATAAATAAAATCTTAAAAAAAAAACTAAACATGCAATTATCATACAACCCAGTACTTGCAGTTGTGGGCATTTAGTCCGGAGAAATAAAAACTTACATTGACACCAACACCCATATGCTAATTTTCTATAGCTTCTTTACGTGCAATAACCAAAAACTTGAAACAACCCAGATGTCTTGTAATGGATGAATAAGTAAATTTGTAGATGCATACCATAGAATGCTACCCAGCAATAAAAGGTACCAAACTACTGATAAACACAAACTGTAGATGAATCTCCAGGGAATTACGTTGAGTAGAAAAAAGTCAATCCCAAAGGTTGCATACTATACGATTCCATTTTTATAACATTTTGAAATGATAAAATTATAGAAATGGAGACAGGATTCGTGGTTGCCAGGGATTAGAAAGGAGGGTGTGGGGAAGGAAGGTGGGTGTGATTATAAAAGAGCAACAGAAGAAATTCTTGAGGTCCTGTAACTCATGTCATATTGGTTCCCCTTTTAGGAGCAACTGTATGTTCTATATCTGGACTGTGGTGGTGATCATACAAATCTACACATGTGGTAAAATTGCATAAAACTAAATACACACACACAGAAAGAAGTACATATAAAACTGGTGAAATCTGGATGAAGTCAAGGATTGTATCAATGTCAATATCTTGGTTGTTGATATTGTACTATATGGTTGGACAGGATGTTACCATCGAGGAGATAGAAGGATATACAGGATCTCTGTGTATTATTTCTTACAACAGCATGTGAATTTGCCATTATCACCACCCTGGCAAGAACAGCGTGACCAACGTAAAATTCTGAAGAAGCTCCACAGTAGTTCCCTTGGAAGCTAACAATACCATTATCCATAGACTTAATCTTTTTACCTCCCAAGGCATCCCTTTAGGTTAAGAAAGGGCAATTTCATCTATCATTAGGCAAGCCTTACCGTATGGTTTTCCCAGAATTTGGTATTAGTTTGCCCTATGAGAATTAAACTAGTAGGGGCGCCTGGGTGGCTCAGTCAGTTAAGCATCTGCCTTCAGCTCAGGTCATGATCCCAGGGTCCTGGGATCAAGACCCACGTCAGGCTCCCTGCTCAGTGGGGATTCTGCTTCTCCCTCTCCCACTCCCCTTGCTTGTGCTCTCTCTCTCTCTCTCTTCTCTCTCTATCAAATAAATAAAAATCTTTAAAAATAAAAAGACTTAAACTAGTAAAAATAAAATAACTTAGGACAGTAGCCATTAGCCATCTTAGATGCTTTGACAATAAGAAGAGCAATGCATACCGAAAGATATCAAAGGATGTCAGGGAGGAGATCTGCATTCTTCTAGAAAAGCAGGAGCGAGCCCAGAGAGGAAGATCATATTAAGCTGTCCTGAGCCCTGCCCTGGAGGGCAAGTACCTCGGCCTCACACCAGTATTGATCTGCTTGGGACGGCTGCCACTTCCGGAGCATGTATTATGGGTGAGGTGCTCTACCTGCATTGTCATTAATTCTCAGCACAATCCTCCCAAATATGAAGTTATCAGCGTACTTACTAAGGCTTAAGAGATAAAATAACAAGCCAGAGATCACACACGTGGTGAGTAACAGAGGTAGATTTCAGGCCTATGAACCACCATACCATTTCCATTCCACCATACTGCTCTTTAGAGGCAGCAAGCACATAAAACTATTGTAGCTTGATGCCGTGGTCTTAGAATTAGCTCATCAACTCTCTTCATTCTACTTTCCTGCTTCCACATTTTGATTGCCCAGATACAGGTTCCGAAAGGGGAACCAGTGTGAGTATCTGTCCATTTGGCAGTTGTATTCCCCCCTGTACATGAACACGCTGGCATTGATTTGTTCACCGCTCTATTGTAAAAATGGTTAAGAGGCATGGGTTCCCCGCAGGCTGATGATTCTTGTATGCTGGAGCATTCTGTTCCTGCAGACAGAGAAGATACCGTGCTTAGGTTAACCTCTAGGGTCCTACTCCCATGTGAGGGCACAGTCTTTGATGTCCTCCCTCTTTTAAAATTCAGTCCTCGTGCAGCAAGTTGGGGAAATGGTGTTACAGATGTAAGTAACTGGCCTAGACCCAGAGAGTTGATTACTGGCAACGTTAAGGTTGAGAACTAGGTCTCTGAACTCTTCTTCCAGTGTAACCATTTCATCTGTGCTCATGCTGTCCAAGCATCCGATTTCAGGGGCAGATGTGGAATAATGGGTTTGCATGCTCAGTCCACATTCCAGTTTTCTGTACTCATGCTACATCTTTGGCTAATGATGAAATTATTTTTGTTAGCAAAACTGATAGCTTTATTATAAGCCCACAATTTTCTGGACATAAATAAATGCATAGACACTGACTAGCCATAGTGGGTGTGCTTCAAATGTTCATCATCCTTCCATATTACAGAAACTGGGTAGGCACCGCTGGTTCCTACAGTAGCTTTTCTATATTGAATAGACTGTTACATATAAATAGTTGTATTCATGAGACTTCACTTCAATTATTTCCACCACCTGGTATGGTATGTGCCACAAGCAGGATATCAATCCTTGTGGGTTGGATTGGATTGGAGTAGACTGGATTAAATTGATTGAAAGTGGTTCTAATGTCTTTTTTTTTTTTAAAAGATTTTATTTATTTAGTTGACAGAGACACATCAAGAGAGGGAACACAAGCAGGGGGAGCGGAAGAGGCAGAAGCAGGCTTCCCGTGGAGCAAGGAGCCCGATATGGGGCTCGATCCCAGGACGCTGAGATCATGACCTGAGCTGAAGGCAGACACTTAACGACTGAGCCACCCAGGCGCCGCAGTTCTAATGTCTTTCAACTCTTAGCTACTGTCATTTATTTAACATCCCTACCCAGACAGCTGTTTAGACCACACCACAACTGGTCACAGATACATTATTAGTTTCGGGTGTGTGTCCCCTCACCTGAAAGATCTACTTTATCAGGCAGGTCACTTCTGGTACCAAGACCTTCCTGACACCTTACCGGTCGCCAGCCTCCAGGGAGGGCCATGTTAGTTCTCTGATCCCAGGACTTGGGAGGTCCAGGGAGTGTCAGCGTGCAAAAGCAGATATCACGGAGGTGCTCAGATACATAGCAGTGCTGGTTCAAACTCGTAAGCAACTGGTGGTTCATGGGAAACTCAAAATAATGAGCAGGGCTAGCTCCTTAGAGATACCTATTAATTACATTCTTCTTCTGTTTGGCAGGTCACCTGTGGAGGTCAATTTCTCATAGACACCCCTGCAGCTTCTCTTTTTCACTTCCATTTATGTGGGGAATCTTTTTATTCGTTTTTTTTTTGCTTTCAAATATAACATCCAAAATGCCTGACATCTGTTCTTGTTCCCCATTGTGTTCATTGGAGTTAATTTAAAATTACTCACAATGCATTGTTTTCCCGAAATTCATCTTTAGAGTCTTTGGAGATAGTTGCTCAATAACGTGTCATGAGAGAAGTTCAGATTTGCAAAGAATTTGTCATTTCCTCCTGCATTGCTAATTTATTTAGTAAGCATTTGTTTCTAGCAGTCTTATCTGCCCAGCTGTAGACGTATGTACATGCCAGATCCATAGAGCCATAAATCCAAAACTGTTAATAATCGCACTAAAAGTAGGTTGGAATAAACTTTGGTACCTAGCTCTTCTGAAAGTCCTCACCCAAACCCTTTTGTCCTTGCTTAAAAATATTGATGCTCATATAAGGATAAGTGTGTTTATGAGAAGTTTCCCATTTAGTTCTCAACTAAGGCTCTGGAATATTTAAGCTAATGCTGGACAACTATCAGCCTTGTTAACTGTTCAAGGGATTTCCATGAGCATAAGTGGCAGTAATAGATTGATTTGAATCCTGGTTTCATAAAATACACTCCTTTTCAGTTAAAGTAAACTCCCTTTCCGCCCTGAAAGAGTAAGGTGAATTTTTGCCTTAGTTATTAATGCCTGTTGATTTTATTTCAGTGGTACAGGCATGGATGGGAAGAAGTGCAGCATATGGATGTTTTTACCTCTTGTATTTACGTTGTTTACTTCAGCTGGATTATGGATAGTGTGAGTATTCTCTTATTTAATTATTTAAGGACTTGGTGCAGTGTAGATCAAAATGTAGTTTTGATAGTATATGGCATAGCTATATAAGTGTATTTATAAATACTTTAAAATAGTGTTTACTAATTCGACCTTGCTAAAGTCCCCATTTGTCTTCCCTTCTATTACCCAAAGTAAAGAGCAAGAGTGAGTAATAAATTATGCAAAGCAGGTAGTGAAGAACACTGGTTTTATTTTGTGTTCCCGTGTTCTTTCGGTAATGAACGTTCTATAAACTGGTGATAGGGATTCATTGTTTTCAAGATTTGCTCATTATTCTCACATGCTAAAGATTCCATTCACAGTCCAGTGCATAGTCCAGTATGACTGGGTTTGGTACTCAGCTTATCACAAAATGCTCCCACACTTGCTTATTTCAAGTACTATTTCACTTCCAGCAAATTATTTTAGTTCCTTTGCAATTCACTGAGAGAGGTGGACACACTCCTGAGAAATTAGAAAATTTGAATTCTAATTTTAGTTTCCTCAAAGTTATATAAGGTCTTATTTCTTTGTTTTCCCAGTTTCCAGATTATAATGATTACCATCAATTTGGAGGGTGTTTTGAAAATTCAAGAAATAGTATTAATCACATTTGAATTGTAAAGAGCCTTATAAGTGATCTGTAGGTAAACATTATAGCAAAAGAAATTTTTCCCAGCTGGGAAAAACAATGAATATGATTTAATGTGACTAATCTAGTAAAACTGGGAAACAAATGAGTCTTTTTACAAATTTTTCTTTGTTTTATAAACTTTGCTTGTTCTTTCTTCGTAGATACTTTATAGCTGTGGAAGATGACAAAATTTTCCCGTTAAATTCAGCTGAAAGGTAAAGCCGATCTCTGGGTAATTCACTGTTTATCAATAGACTTAATAATAACTTTTGCCACTGGTGAGGTTAAACTGTGCACGAATGACTGTACTTTAACTTGTGCTTTTTCTTTTCCAGGAAACCGGGCGTGAAGCACGCACCCTATATAAGGTAACTCGATAGCTCTTCTGATCTGTTGGATCCTAGGAGAAGTTGGGAGATGACTGAGTTTGGGCTACTGGGTGGCTAATAAACAAAAATTTATGTCTCACAGCTTCTTGGGAGGCTGGAGGTCCAAGATCAGGGCGCCAGCCGTCAGGTCTTGATGAGGGCCCTCTTCTGGGTTGTAGATGGCCATCCTCTGGTTGTGTCCTCCCCCCGGCAGAAATGGGACGAGACAGCTCTCTGGGATCTCTTTTATAAGGGCACGAATCCCACTCAGAAGGGCTCGACCGTCATGACCTGAGTATCTCCCAAAGCCCCCACCTCCTCATAGCATCACATTGGGGGTTAGGATCTCGACATACGAGTTTTGAAGGGACACAGACCATTGAAGGTGGCAGATTTTAAGATAGTAGTAATAAAACATGTCATTATTTTCAAGTATTGCAGGTGACGAGCCTCCTGCAAGCTGTGTGTTTAGTCAAGTCATGAACATGGCAGCATTCCTAGGTAAGAAGGGTGAAAGAACACTTGATGTGCTTTGGTACTTTTCTTTTTTATTTTAAATCCTCCCAAACCCACATCAAAAGCACGGTGGGCTTAGCTGACAATTTGGCATCATATCATGTCAATATGCCGAAGCTGGCTTTTTGTTTTGAGGGTCTTTTTTCTCGCACTTTCATGTTCACCCTGCTTACCTTACATCTTCTCTTCCCCTTATCATCTTTATCATTTCAGTGTTTTCTTGACTTTATTTCTATTGCCACGTGAAATACTGTATTTCACGTGCCATAAAATTCTTGCATGACAATGTAGTAATGGTGCAATACATTTGTGTTAAGAAGAATGCCTTATTTATTTCTTCACTGGCAAGGATGACAAACGCATGGGCTTTGTGATAAACACTGATGTGTGGAGACACTGTCTTTAGATCTAAAGGTCAGCATTAACATGGGTGATGCTGTCTCCTGTACATATATACACATAACTAAGATGGCAAGTGGAGATGTAGGTTAAAAAAAAAAAGAAGAGAGCTTTGGTGCTCAGGTCTGGTCCCCGTTCCGTTCTTTTCCTTCAGGGCCCAAGACCATCATTTCACATCCTGTCCCCTTTGTTCTGCGAGCATTTCCTTCCGAGGACTGAGGGAACCAGCCATTCCCTCTGTCCTTTTCCACGTCCCCCTTGGATACCATCTCCCCAAAGCCAGTGTCCTCGGTGTCTTTCAAAGGGTCAGCTAATATCGTCGCTGGCATGCTGTAGGGGATTGGGCCGGTGACAGCTCAATTTTTCAACAACTGCTTTCTGGAAATGGTTCTTTTGGATGGTAAGAATTTCAGCCTTGGTGGCACCTGTTCCCCAAAGAGGTGACCTATTATTTCATCTATGTAGAACTCCACCCCAAAAAAGTTCTACTCATTTTTAAGATGTTATTTTTTTAACGTTTGCTGTAGGAAAAGGAAAGACCTATAGAACTCACTGGAAAATCAAGGGAGATGGTTGGTCCAACATGCAACATAGGCACAATCTTGGTATAGAAGGCTCAGAACATGAGAAACGTGGAGAGCGTTCCCAGGGAGGCCTAGGAGGCCTCTCCTGAACCCGTGGAGTTCAATGAAAAGCACACTGGGGGACTTGTCTGCAGTTACTAAAGTTCCTCCCTGGAGCTAACTCTATGTGGGTCAAAACCTTTCACCACCCAGGCGTCCCCAAAACATAGTCCATTTTGCCTGAGCAGGAGGTGTCTGAAAGGCATGGACTGCCACGCCACCACTAAGGAGGAGGTCAGATACAACCCTAATGCCGAAGCTGCCGAGTCTTTGAAGAACTCTCCTCGTCGTGTCCTTGGTAGGCAGGATTTTCATGTCTCGGCTATTCCCCGGTTCTGGAAAAGGCGGTACTTACTGCAGCTGACGCACACTTGGGCACCAGTGTCAGTCCTGGCCAGTCGGGTTCTGTCTTCCCTGCCATCAGCCTCAGCTATCATGGGCTTTAATTCTCACTTTTTTTTTTTCCTACTCTTGACACCAAGGCATAAATGACTGCTAAGGAGCTATTTGCATTTGAGAGAACACAAAGCCCCCCTGGGAGAGAATCTTGAATCGCAAGGTCAGGGACCTTTCCCAGTCAGCCTGCAGTCACACCACGTAGGCCTGCAGGTCGGTACCTACTCATATGATCTTCCCCACGGGGTGCAATAATAGCAATAATTAATAGCAGTCATTTATATTCCAGGCATAATGCTAAGTGCTTTGCAAATACCACCTCATCTAATCACGAGACACAGGAGACTGCCCTTATTAAAAAGCTGTCACAAGCTGTTTGTCCTCCACTTGGGCTTTAAAGACACCAATGAACATGTTGGAAGCCACATATTGCTTCCTTCACATTCTTAAGATAAATTGATATTTCCCCATAGTCTTTAGTGTATAATCTTCAAAATGCCAATTTGCACAGCTCACAAATGTATCCAGTTATAAAGCTTATGATTAACTAATTATAAGAGCATTTCCAAAAACAAAGTAATGAAAACAAGCTCCCCTCTTCCAGATGACATTCGTCATCATCTTATTCTCTGGTCCTCCCCTGTTCCAGCAAGAAGCACTTAAGCCTTTACTAGTGCTCACTCTGAGGTATTGCAGTATCCAGTGTTTATTCTTTATTGTCTTCCAGCATTTCGGTGCCATCTGGTAGACACGAAACTGATGAAGATTAGTGTTCAGTGGGAGGAAGCCAACAATTATTTATTTATCAACTCTCGGAGTGAAAAAGAATCCATTTACTAATGATTCTTGCTCCAAGTGGAGGAGGCTTTCATCTCCCCAGGCCAGTCCCTGTTAGACCTCAGACTTTTACTTTAGATGGCATCATTGACTTTAAGGAACAACGTGGACTGCCTAGAAATCACTGCTTTTTGGCAGAAATCTAGATTCTAATTTACAATCTACAGGTTAGTGTAGCATTTATTAAAATCAGCAAAGATCCTCTGTCTTTTTGATGTACTAATCAAAGATCGAACTCAATTATTTTCTTTACCGAATTAGTTATACACTTTGTCCCAAATCCACACTTTTATTTCCCCAGGGCGGCAGGGAAAGAGACCTAAGACAAATTTCTTGAAAGGAATATTCTTTTCTGCCCTGAACAGGTTGTGAGGATAAAGCTGATAGGCTGAATGATCTCAGTCACTTAATAGCAGCTGCTCCCCCTCCTTCAGCCAAAACACACTGATTGCTGGGTTCTACTGCAGTCATAAATAGGAATTACTGATGCATAAACAATAAAACTAAACAAATGAACAAAGAATTTGGCCAGGCACCAATTTAGAACTGCAATGAAGAGCTACTGTTTTGAGTTTGAACTTTAAAAACCCAACCAGGGGTGCCTGGTTGGCTCAGTCGGTAGAGCATGCAACTCTTGATCTCAGGGTTGTGAGTTCAAGCCTCACGTGGGGTGTGGAGCCCACTTTAAAAATAAATAAATAAATAAATAAATAAATAAAGGCCCAGTCAGCCTCTCAATATTTAGTAAAGAAAATAGGCATTTATTCTACTCTTTGTGTTCTTTTAAAATAGATAAATAGGGGATACTTATATAGCAAAGGACTATTCCAAATACCATAAACAACAGAAGGGTGGGTTTTAAAAATCTTTTCTAAAACTGTTAATAAAATCTAAAAATTTTTTTAAAGATTTTATTTATTTATTTGACAGAGAAAGAAAGAGAGAGCAAGCAGGGGGAGTGGGAGAGGGAGAAGCAGACTCCCTGATGAGCAGGGAGCCCCTTGCAGAGCTCGGTCCCAGCACCCTGGGATCATGACCTGAGCCGAAAGCAGACACTTAACCTACTGAGCCACCCAGGCGCCCCTAAAATCTAAAATTTTTAATGAAACTAAAAGACATATCTTCTGATCATAACATTAATGTAGTAAAAAATTGTTCAGCATATATAAAGACAGCTTTGAAATCACCCCACTGCCCAGAAGTCTTTCTCAAGCATGTATAATTAAATCACTACTTGGTTGAAAAGGACTTAATAACCGATTATCTGAATCTGCCTCCATTAAACCTGTTAATAAAACTGTTAAAGGACCAGAAGCTTGTAATTTCCACCACCTTAAAATTTCGACTAGAATCTTTTTCTTTCTTTCTTTCTTTTTTTTTTTTTAATGTAGCCTCTATGACCAACGTGGTGAACTCACAACCCTGAGATCAGGAGTCACACGCTCTACTGACTGAGCCAGCCAGTTGCCCGTAGAATCTATTTTTGAAGGAAAATTTGCCTAGTCTGAGCTGATTAATAATGGTGTTAATAGGTAAAGAGGGCAGAGTGTGGTGTTTGGAATGCCGTTCTGGAAGTTAGGAGTGTTGGGTTGAATTCATGTCCCCAAGTAGGTTTCTGTTTCCTGCTTAATTTCATCATCTGTTCATGATAAAATTATTTATCATCATATTACAAGTGGGAAGGCTAGCAGGGCTGGGACCAGAAGATGATACATGTCCTGTGTTTACCAGGGAGAAATGAGTAACACGGAATATGGCCACTGACCCTCTTGCTCTGGGCACAAGGGAACAAACTGACCCTACAGGTAAAAAGGAGAGCCATCTGTGTCTGCTTCAAGCAGTGCTTTAGGGCTTAAGCCGAAGTTCTAGTACGATCCTATTCCCCCAAATTAAATGACATCCAGAGCTGCTAGAGTAATACTTAACGCTAGTCATTTTAATTTAAGTGTTTTTAAAGATTTTTATTTATTTATTTGACAGAGGGAGATTGAATACAAGCAGGGGGAGTGGCCGAGGGAGAAGCAGGCCCCCACTGAGCAGGGAGCCCAAAGCGGAGGCTCGATCCCAGGACCCTGAGATCATGACCTGAGCCGAAGGCAGATGCTTAACCGACTAAGCCACCCAGGCGCCCTCACTAATCATTTTTAAAAGAAATGAAATGTGCTGTCTTGGTATTCGGTCATTATGTCCTAATATCCATACACAGTTAATAGCAAGTGTCTCCTGTGGTGCCCTGTGTTGAGGATTCTGGTCTTAATCTAGTGACCTCTTTATCTGATGATCACTTAGGGCTTATGTGGAATTTCTCCCCCGCTTCCTCCTCCTATTCCCATTTTAAAAAGTAGGAAGAAGTTGTGCTGATTTTTTCATCCTCTAGGATACTTGTTGTCATTATTAATAGACTCTGACATATTATAATTTCTAACTAGGTCCCTCAAACCATTAGGTTTGGACTCCTTCAACTCAAGTATCATTTATAAATTCTATGACTTCTAGTGGGAGTTAGATGAAGCGTAAATATATTAAAAGCTAAGTCAGAGCTGAACAATTTGAGATTTTATAAATTACGGTTTACTACTATTTTGTTTCTAAAATCCAAATCTTAACCAAGTTGTATACACCACTCTTTGATGAGAGGTACTTGGAACTGAAAATCAACTTGCTGAGCTTAACTTTGTAGCTTCACACTATGACATTCAGCAAATTTAGGAAATGCAAATTTATGGAAGGGTTTTCTTTATTAATGACTATTAATAAGGTCCTATAATGAAGATACAAACCTTTAGCAAATAATTACCTACTTAATTGCTGTATAAATAGGATAATTCTTGAATTTCTAATTATCTTCCCTGTTAAACCTTAGTGTCAATATAAATTGTCTTAGGAAGTAGAAAGTGCATTTCCTTATATGTAGATATAACTTATATTAACTGCAAGCACTTTTTTTTCACTTATTTGTAGACTAACCTCTCCCAGCTTTTTGTATAAATATGAAAATACCCCTGCACTAAGCAATTACTAAAAGGGGATTCTTATATTCATGGCTTGAGTATGGACCATCCTCAAGGTTACTATTAGAAGTCATGTTTGAGGTGTGCCTGGCTGGCTCAGTTGAAGAGCATGTGATTCTTGATCTCAGGGTTGTGAGTTCGAGCCCCACATGGGGTATAGAGATTACTTAAATAAATAAAACCTTAAAAAAAAGAAGTTAGGTTTAAATCTAGGTAAATTCCTTCATTCTTTCTGATTCTCCCATAACAGTGTGCTTCGAAAGATGGAGTGGGTTTTCAAAGTGAGTAACGTCATAGAAGTATTGAGCTTTCATCATATAATCAGCATGATTTTTAGTACATACCAAACCCCCAGATCTATGTTAAAATTCAGATTTCATAATTTGATTACTATAACTGCTCTAATTTAGGTCGACTATCCTTGTCCTTTGACAGTGGACACCTCCAGATAGAATTAGAGGGAAGTGGGAATAAACCAGTAATCAAGGGATTTGTACACTTGCCTTGTCTTCTCCCTGTCTCCAGGAATGATTTCTGGCACAGGGACCAGCGGGTGTGTCTGGAGGTGGACCCATCTTCTTCCCTGTGTCTGCTCTAACACTGTGAAACTAAAGGGGGGGCGTGAATTAGTGAACTCTTGAGCCACAGATTGTCTTTATTCCTGTCTTAATTGTTGTGTGAGACCTCTGCGATGTTCTCCTAAGCCAATGTGTCCTGGGCTGACCTTGTTTTTGAAAACTCTGTGAACAACCCCTGCACCACTCAAGTAACATATAGCACTGCTGTTTCAAGTCCTCTCTGCCTCTCCCAAAGGAGGCATAATAAAACATCCAAATGATCATAAGCATCACGTGAAAAATTTCTTTTAGAAATTATCTGCCATTTCAGAGATTTAAAAGTGCACCGTGGTGCAAAGTTTAATCTTGCACATTGGGGCTTTAGAACTCTGCCTCAGAATCTAGCTGCATGATTTAGATTTTTAAATGTTAACATTTTGTTTTATCCCCAGCTCTCGTGGTAGCTGTTCTGCGCTTCATACAGCTGAAACCCAAGGTTTTAAATCCATGGCTGAATATTAGTGGATTGGTGGCGCTGTGTCTGGCCTCCTTTGGGATGACCTTACTTGGTAATTTTCAGGTACTTCATTTGGCCTTTTTCACCTCCTTCTCCCCCTTCGCCTAGAGGGTGGTCATAGCCACTGATTCTGCACAAATCTTTTAAATAATGCTAGTGGTGGTTCCTATTAAGCACAGGTCCTCCAGCAGTCAGTCCTTCTGGTCCTCGGCCCCGTCTGCTGATGTTCACACTGCACGTGTGAGGGCGCTCACTCTGCACTGGAAGTACAGCACCGCTATGGGGAAAAGTAGCCTCTACAATTGCTGTGTACCTTCTACAGAGGATTTCAAAGTGCTCTATACTTTTTCTCATAAAAAAATTGTCTCCTAATGTAACTTTCTAGAAAACTAATATGATCATGGCCTTTCTAAAATTAAACACTGAAAGGGCCACTGGGTGGCTCAGGCGTTAAGCGTCTGCCTTCGGCTCGGGTCGTGATCCCAGGGTCCTGGGATCGAGCCCTCCATCGGGCTCCCTGCTCGGCGGGAAGCCTGCTTCTCCCTCTCCCACTCCCCATGCTTGTGTTCCCTCTCTCGCTGTGTCTCTCTGTCAAATAAATAATAAAATCTTTTAAAAAATAAATTAAATTAAACACTGAGTATCCTTTTTGGATAAAAGCTTGCATTTCATATGAGCAAGCTCATGTGGGACTCAAGTTTGCAAACACAGAATTTCTCTAGAACACCTAGGACTTGTATAAAGGTCTACTAACACTAACTCTTCTGCCCATTTAGAAGCCCGAGATCACAACATTTAAGAATCATTTCCCCAGGGGGGGCTCAGTTGGTTGAGCATCTGGCTCTCAGTCTCAGCTCAGGTGTTGATCTCAGGGTCATGAATTTGAGCCCCGTGCTGGGCTCCACGCTGGGTATGGAGCCTACTTAAAAAAAAAAAAAAAAAAATTTCCCTTGCCAAGACCATCATCCACCCCTAGACTCAAACGACTCCATTTGTAAGACAGACGAGGAGCCCCCACCCTGGAACAGTGGTTGTCTGATTGCCCATGGCTCGTTCCCTTCCCAGTGTCCTCCAACCTCTGCTTTATACCCTGGGGAGAAACTTCCTCCATCCTGACACCTCTCCCCATCTGTGGAGTGAAATCCAAATGGCAGAGGCATTTAAAAATATAGAGTAGTGGATTTTCTAAAACTGCCTCTCATTCCACCCCTCAGTCCTGGTAATTCATTACAGCAAGAAAACTTATTCCCCAGCACTTCGCCTGGCACAGAGGAGAAACGAATAGTTACTTTTGAATCGATGGGTCGTTTCACAGATCGGCAGTCCTACTCGTTCTTTTACTACTCTAGGGCCCGTCCCCTGTCAAGCCAGACTTACTGAGTGGCTGCTGCCTGGCTGTGCTGTAGGGGCTGTTTATAAACCTATTAACCTATTAACTCTATAAAAACCAGGGCCTGGGGCACCTGGGTGGCTCAGTTGGTTAAGCAACTGCCTTTGGCTCAGGTCATGATCCTGGAGTCCCGGGATCGAGTCCCACATCGGGCTCCCTGCTCAGCGGGGAGTCTGCTTCTCCCTCTGACCCTCTTCCCTCTCGTGCTCTCTATCTCTCATTCTCTCTCTCTCAAATAATAAATAAATAAAAATAAAAACCAGGGCCTGGATGGAAGTTACTGGGTAGACCTTTCAGTCTTTCCTAAAGTCCAGAGATTGGGTTGTTTTGGTGAACCACAAATACTCAAAACCATGAATGATGACACGACATACGAAGAACACTTTCTGGAATATCTACAGAGAATACAGAGGAAACAACGAATTAGTTGCCTGTGAAGAAACCAAGTGGCTAGCGTATGGGATGGGAGACAGACTTTTCCATCCGTACTCTATAATTTTTTAAAGTTTGAACCATGTAATTATATAATCTATTTTTTAAATTAAGTTTAAAATAATAAATGAATGGACTGTGTATATAACATGGAAAACCAATTGCCTAGAAGTAAAATTGTATTTGAGGAATTGTTATTTAAAGTAAGATTTGGGGCGCCTGGGTGGCTCAGTGGGTTAACCATCTGCCTTCAGCTCAGGTCATGATCTCAGGGTCCTGGGATGGAGTCCTGAATCAGGATCCTTGCTCGGGGAGGTGGGGGGGAAGAGTCTGCTTCTCCCTCTACCCCCACCTGCCCCTCGTGCTCTCGCTCTCTCTCTCTCTGACAAATAAATAAAATCTTCAAAAACAAATGAATAAATAAATAAATACAGGTGCCCTCTGCATTAAAAAAATATGTAAATAAATAAAGATTTGAAAATATGTCTTTTGAGCTAAGAGAGGAAAAAAGTGGCTTCTTCCAAAGAGGAAAAAATACTACAGCCAAAAACAATAGAAAAAATTGTAAAAGGAAAGCAATATTGACTTGATGCAACCATTATTCTCACAGCAATGTCAAACAATAAAATATCTGAAGACAATAGCAATTCAAAAAAATATTTTACTATGTTGTAAGAGCCGTCTCTTCAACTATAGATTTTATTTTCTTATATGTGTAATTAAAAAATATATAATTGCTAAAGATGTTTTAAGGGACCAGTATATTATTTTTTTTAAAGATTATTTATTTGAGACAGAGAGTGAGCGAGCACAAGCAGGGGACAGTGGGAGAGGAAGAAGCAGACTCCCCGCTGAGCAGGGAGCCTGACACGGGGCTCAATCCCAGGATCCTGAGATCATGACCTGAGTGGAAGGCAGACATTCAACCAACTGAGGCACCCAGGCGCCCCGTGACCACTATATTAAAAAAAAAAAGTGACCAGTATATTTTTGACATCAGTAGGCAATGACTTGGAGAGTTTACATCTTTAACCCTCAAATGAAATAACCCAAATGGGTCTCCTGTAACCTATTAACTCTATAAAAGCCTTGACCAGGAATTTTGAAACACTAATGTCCTTTAATGGATCTACAAATATGGAAAAAGCTCTTAGGTGACAATTTTCTTATTATTATAAAAGGAAAATTCAACAAAATCCCATTAACAATGAATTGGTCACATTATACAGGCCAGTTTTGTAGGAGTAAGTGTTGTTAGCTGTCTATGTCAGTAAAATCTTGACCCGCTTAGAGTATGTCGTCCTCTTCGATCACTAAATACACAGCCAGATCCCGGGTCTCATTTCTTAGTCTGGAAAACAAAGTTTGGGGTGTATGTTTGTAGAAACTGACATTTCTCTTTTTGGTGTAACTGTTTTTCTTTTGCTTTTCTACACTTTTCTGGAAAATAAATTCAAGGAATAGATTACCACTGCCTGAGTGGGTTATTCTAAACAAATATTTTGAGGTCTGGGGGTACTATTTATTTCCCTTTTCCTCCTCAGAGTTCAGACCATTTGAGAACAGACACAAAGAGCCAGTGAAGATGAAGGACTCTACTCTTTCCAAAATCTGTCATCCCATTATTGAGACATCATTTTACCTATTTTTTTCTCCCTCAGGTGTTCCACTGGCCATCATGTCTTTTCTAAATGGGCCTCCTTGTCATTATCTGTTCCTCCCTTAGCTCACGAATGATGAAGAAATCCACAATGTCGGAACTTCCTTGACCTTTGGATTTGGCACGTTGACCTGCTGGATCCAGGCTGCACTGACACTCAAAGTCAACATCAAGAATGAAGGCCGGAAAGTTGGAATTCCACGAGTTATTCTCTCAGCATCTATCACTCTCTGTGTGGTCCTCTGTATCCTTTGAATGTGAAAAGAAGGTTCTCTGACAGAGTAAAACACAGATATGTAGATGAGAAAATCGCCATTTCCAATTCGTTAGGATATTGGTCAGATTATCTCAGAATCTTAGACAAAAGACAACAGGAATGGATATAAAAACAAAAACTCTCAGGCCTATTTTTTATGCCAAAGAGGAGATGGAGAACTAAAAATAAAACAAGCTCTGCCTTCTCAAAATTGTTTCTATCTGTAGGACTGGTGTTCCTTATCATTAACGATGTAAAAGTTTCCCTTGATGAAAAGCATAACGAAGATGCATAACGAAAATGGGGATTGTTTTTCCCTTACATCTTAAAAAAAAAGTTAATTTGTGACTTTATTGATGGCCCTGTTATTTCGTTTAATTTTCAAAGGAGAACGGGGCAAGCCTCCTGTGTCACACCCTGGACTTCAACTTATCCACTCAGTAACAAGCAGAGAAACCAGGAAAAGCTTAACCCCAAACACATCCCACGAGACTAGCCCAGGAGGGAGCACGGTGACCCCACCTACCGGTAGCGTGGCCCAATAGAAGAAGCCGGCCAGTTCCAGTGCGACCAATCAGATCAGCCACTCGTTCTGTGGGGCAGAGCGATCTTAAGTGTTCACTCCAATAGGTTCTCGGAAACCAGAGAGGAAGGGAATAAGGTTCCTAGGTGGTAGAATGTATAGCTAACCCGATTACATCTTCGGGCACGTAATCGCCAACATTTATTAGGCTGTTATCATGTGCTAGGCGTTATTCTAAGCACTTTAAATGGATCAACTCTTTTAATCCTCCTTTAACAAGAATAGTAAGGACAGAGATAATTTACCCAAGATCACACTCTGTATGCAGTGATCTCGACTTAAACTCAGGCACAGTTTGAATTCTTCATCACCACACCCTCTCGCCTTAGGGAAAGTGGCTTTAAAATATGAAAACGTTTGTGGTTCAGAGATGTCCTGTAGTTACTGGAGTCTTTGGGGTCTTTATTTCTTCTTTCCTAACTGCCAACCATGTGACTGGTTTTTTGAAGTTCTGCAGCACCTTAGAGAATTGAGGACTGGAGAATCAAGCCAAAACTCGTGCTTATGGCTAGCCACTTGATAAAATATTTTATGAGTAAAAAGGTCAGAATTCTGGTATGAGATTTGAAGATTTATCCCTTCCCCACTAACTTAAGTGATAATATTGCTTTGCCAATATTTTGAGCCCTCAGTCAGAAGAGTACGTACAGACTTTATTTTGCGTTTTCAGCTTATACCAAACAATCCTGACCCGTGTTGTTTCTGAACATTTGGAACCCTGTCTTGGTTCCCAGGTGAACAGATCCAGGCCTTCTCAGGACAGCAGTCTGGCTGAAGTAGTTTCACCGTATTCTTTTGCTCTCTGAAAATTTCCCAAGATTTTAAGTGTAAGTTCTGAAGATAGAGCTAATTCCAAGGGAGCATTTCTGATTTTTCTTTAAAAATGTATTTAGACCTTGGCCTCTTGGCTTCTTACTAAAGCATGCTTTGAAACATTCTCCTTCCCAGCTCCTACCTCATGTATACTGGTGTGTGAACGTGTACACTCCATATAGATTCAGGCATAGGAGTCTCATTTGTTGATTTAATAGTGAAAACTAGCAGAAGAGGAGGAGGGGCCAATTAGACATTATTAGCACTGTAGAGACAAAGCTTTGATGTAGGTAATTAGTGATTTGATATGTTCAAAATTGTTTCTGCAGATAGAAAGATGACTGTGAATCCAGTCACTTGCAATAATTTTTTAAAGATAAATTTCTTTTTCTGGCCATCTAATTTTTGGGGGGAGTTTTAATCCTCTTGCTAATCTCACAGATTATTAGGCAGCGGTAAGAGCTGCATGCCTGCCCCGGGAGTCCGAGTCCTTGTATTTGAATTCCGGCTCTACCAGTTAACACCTCGGTGACCTCAGGCAAGTTACTTAACCATCTGGACTCAGTTTCCCTTTTTTTTAAATGAACTGATGATAATAGGATTGCTGTGAGGATTAAGTTAGATTTTCCATGTAAGCACCTAGACGCATGTCTGGCACAAAGAGCTCAGTAACGTTACTTCGTATTATTCATCCAAGTGGTGTGTTCAGCAAGCTGTCAAGCTAAGTTCTGCTGATGGGGGGGGGGCGGGGAATGAGCCTTTTCTTGTGGCCTGTCCCTGTCCAGAAAAGAGCCCAGTTTTAATGCCGCTGATGGTGGTACCTCCCTTGACTGCTGCTCCTCAGATTTCATACTCATGGCCCAAGGCATCCACATGTATGCAGCCAGGGTCCAGTGGGGTCTGGTCATGTGCTTCCTGTCTTATTTTGGCACCTTTGCTGTGGAGTTCCGGCATTACCGTTACGAGATTGTTTGCTCCGAGTACCAGGAGAATTTCCTAAGCTTCTCGGAAAGCCTGTCCGAAGCTTCCGAATATCAAACCGACCAGGTGTAACCTATCAGCTTTTCCTTGCCTGTGAGGTGGGTGTGCTGGGGGAAGGAGCCAGAAGGACACACCCACAGGACTTGGTCCATAACCTCATCACACATTTTACACACACACACACACACACACACACACGTTCATGGCCACATTTGCCAAATGAGCTTTTCAGGGCAAGTTACTTCTTTAACGAAAAAGCACAAGCCCTTATGTGTCGAAATACATGCTGTTACACTGAAAATATATGCCCGACAGAGCAAGAAGCTTGTGCATGATCACTTCTCTTTTCCCTCTCTCCCCCAGTACTCCCTGCTCTTCTCATTCTCTTCACGTATTTCAGACATTGTGATCACCCTACCACAGAGTAGGGCAGGCCAAATGTAACATGGGAATAATGCCAACTCCCAAAGTTGCCTTCAGATCCAAAGGGCTTGGAACCAGCTCATGAGGAAGTTCTGAATCTGGCACTAATACTCTTGAATGGACTGAGTATCATCAAGAACTTCCCCATAAAAACTCCCTTCATCACTGTTCAGTGGTCAGCTGTGTGGAGTCAATGAAAGGAATATGCTACAAGCCCACCACGATTTGGACTTTACTGTGACTGAGAAATATTTCCAAATGTGAATATTCGTAGGGATGTGGTCTGCCAGGCATAGAACAAGATGCGGGCAGTGAGGGTATGGTTTCGTTTTTGCTTCCATAGTATGCTATGTACGGCTTTTGTTTTATATTTCATAGTTTGCCTTCTTTTTTTAAGTAACTACCGTGGGTCTCTCAAGACCTCATGGACAAAGAAGATGTAGGCCAAATGCAAGAGCTGAGCTTGTTTTGGGTTCAACCATGATAAAAGTAAAAAAAAAAAAAAAAAGGTGACCTGCAGGCTTCATTTGCTGCTTTTATGTTCAAAGCTAAGAAAATGTTCACAGAAAAGCACAAAGAAATATTTGTGGAGGTAATAGGAAGAGCTCCTGCTGGACATTTACAAAAGGAGTCTTAGAGCATCTTGGTATAAGTCCAGATCAAGGGATAGCTACTTAATATGTATCTATAGCTCAAATTTAGTATTTGGGGGGGGAGGGTTTAAGGGCTTTTTCATACTTGGAATTTGTAGAAACCAACTGAACAAATCACCCTTCCCCCAAACAAACTGGCACGGCTGATCCCCTATAGCCCAACATACACGTTTCACCTGCTAAGAGTTTAGAACGCAAACCATAGGCCTAGGCTTTTGAGGCTGTGCTTCATAAAGAGCAGAATTCTGAGTTCAAAATGCCCTGGAGTGGGCCACACTGACAGACCCTCCATGAGTGCACTTTGTTTCAAGAAGTCCCCAAATGTACTCCACAGGAGCCTGGGATCTCATGGAATATAATGTGAAAAACATTGTTTTTTAATTCAACCCAAACTCAGATTCTTGAGGAACGGGTCCATGACTTTTCATCTCTGTATTTCTGCCTCCCAGCACAGTGCCTGGCACATAGAGGTGCTCAACAAATGTTGTTAAATAGAGTTACTGGTAATTTAAGCGTAGGAGAAAGGAGTATCAGAGAAAGATTCAAAGATGACAGAAGAGGTGACTGTTTCAAGCAAGACAGGAATGGAAAAAATCCTAGAGAAGGATCAGATCGGGGTGAGAACACCTATGAGTGATAGGTGAAATGTGAGGAAAAGAATCAAGCAGAGAGCATTCTCCTAGGAAAAAGGCATCTTACTGTAAATAGTCCAAGGTGACATTTATTATTTTTGAATACTGCTTTTGGGTTTGTTTTTTCATTTTTATATTTTAAAAAATTTTATCAGAAAACAAAGATTTATGAAGTTTTCTTTTACTCTACACAATCCAAATTAAACAGCTTTTGGTGATGCACTGTACACTTTTTCTTAAGAGTATATCTAAATAGCACAGTTTAGCAGAATCAAGCAACGACTGGCATTGGGATCTGACAACTAAATAAAATTCTTTTATGCAGAATTATGATTTGTCTCTTACACTAACATTTCTTCTGTGATACTGAAGCATTGTGTAAAGTCCATCAGACACTCTGTTGAAAATATACTTCAGTGGGGCGCCCAGGTGGCTCAGTCAGTTAAGCATCTGCCTTCGGCTCAGGTCATCATTGCAGGGTCCCAGGATCGAGTCCCATGTCAGGCTCCCTGCTCAGCGGGGAGTCTGCTTCTCCCTCCCCTTCTGCCCCTCCCCACCCTCGTGCTCTCTCGCTTTCAAATAAATAAATAAATTAAATATTTTAAAAAAAACAAACCAGAAAATATACCTCAGTGTTATATTGGTAGCATATTTCTAGCGTGTTTTCCAATACCCACAGCCAATTCTCTGATTCTCTGGACACCAACTGGATGTCCTACAGTTCAGTTCAATTCTAACACTACCCAGAGTTACTGTCAGTCCCACAAGACTACCCTCACTCACTTCAGATGCCAGTCCCAAGTACTGAGTCCCAGGTTACCCACACTTCTTTCCAACTTGTTTATAAAATTGGTAGGGAAGGGGGGTCCCACAACTCCCTTCTCTTTTAAGTTAGATAATTTGCTAGAATGGCTCCAGGAACTCCAGAAAACACTACTTCCATGCGCCTGCTTATTATAAAGGATGTAACTCAGGAACAACCAAATGAAAGAGTCAGATAGGGCAAGGAAGGGGAGGGATGCAGGGGCATGCCATCCTCCCAACAATTCCATGTGTTCACCAACCCAGAAGTTATCTGAATCTCTCTGTGCAAGAGTTTACAGAGCTCAATTTCCAGCACCCTCCCCCACATCTGCTTCTGGAGGTTGGTCAAGAGGTCTAATCCCTTGATCTTTCTGGTGACCAGCCTCAATCCTGAGGCTATCTGGGAGCCCCCTCCCTAAGTGACCTCATTAGCATAAAATCGGGCTTATTATGAATAACACAAGTCACTCCTACCACTCAGGAAATTTGAAGAGTTTTAGCAGCTCTGTGGCAGGAACCTAGGACAAAGACCAAATATATTTTTGTTTTAGGCCACACATATAAATCAAGATCAAGATTATAGTACTTCCTAGGAGTTAAGAAACACAGGATTCTTCTCAGAGGCCAAAACCAGGGACTCTGTGTTTGGAATGAGCATGCCTGGAGGATCTAATGCAGATGGCCCAGAGAACAAAGTTTGAAATGAACTAAACTTCGTTTTGGTAATCCCACTAGGTCTCTTGAAGAAAAGTTCTCCTCCTAGTTAGGAGAGCAGGATCTCTAAAACAACGTTAACATTTTAAAGGTTCCATCATTTTCTACTGAATGGAGAACTGACTGTGGGTGAAGTTTGACCACCTGTTACGGGGTCTTCTTTGCCCCTGGTGTGGGAAAGTGAAACTTTCATATCCTAGACTTGGTCATCTGCTGGTTATAATGGAGACTGAAACATCAGTTCATTTTTGCTTAGGCGTTGTGTCATTTGGGGTACATTGGGTTTTGCTGTCCCAAAATAAAAGGAATAAAACTTAAGTTCACTTCTCATACGAGAGGTCTATACAGGGTTGGCAAGGGGGTCGTGCTCGGTGCTATGACTCGGACCCTGGCTGACAGAGGCTTCATCCCCACACATGCTTCGCCGCCATTGCCGACAGAGGACTGGTTCTCGACGATTCTACTAGGAAGTGACAAACATCACGTAGCTTACATTTCATTGGTTAGGACACATTGCACAGTCTTATCTGAGAGCCACGCTCCCACCATGCGGCCAGATGGGAGGAACATTTCTGTGAACAGCCTATGACTGCCACAGGGTTCACATTAAGTTTTTAAGACTTCTTGGTCACTGTCATTCCTTTGAAGCAGGAGTAATGAAGAATCAGTGAAGAACCATCATCCTACAGAAATAGGGGAAAGGTGTGATCTATGGAGTTGAGATAGAGCACCAAATCACAAATGTAAGGAACCATGCAAATAATAAATGAGAGAAATGCAATTCCATGGAACATCTTGACCACATCTACATTGTTTCCCCAGAGCAATGGGGATCAACAGTTTGGGGGAAGAGAAGCATTCTGCATATGAAAGAAGCTGGATTTCACAATCCTCAGCTTCCTATCAGTTCAGATTCCCTATTATGAGGGCTCCAACAAACAGCAAATACCCAAATATGAAGTCCAAAAAAGGGAGCGTGCGTGACAAGGCTAGGTCCCTCACTGGAAAAGCAAAGGTCTTTTCATCAGCATAAAATATGCTTTTATTTCTCCTATCTTAGAAAAAAAAAAGTCCCCAGGCGCCTAGCTGGCTCAGTCAGTAGAGCATACGACTCTTGATCTCAGGGTCATGAGTTCAAGCCCCATGGTGGATGTAGAGATTACTTTGAAAAGATTTTTAAAAAGTCCCCATTTGCTGTCTCCAGTCCCTCTCTTAATTCTCTCTTGAACCCAGTCTAATCATTGGAGCTCCTACTTCTGCCACTTTGAGGAACTGCTTTACTCCTTCTCCAGAGACATCATGATAGTATATACGATGGTTAGTTCTTTTACAACCTTATCTAGACCCATAAGCACTGATCAATCCCTCCCCCTTCTCTGCTTAAAACGTTTTCTTCACTTTTCAGAGATCATGCCCTCTTAATTCGCTTCCTGCTTCACTGTCCATGCCTCTGCATCCTTTGCTGGGCCTTCTCCCTGACATCTTCACACTGGAGTGTCCCATGCCTCCGTCCTTGGAACTCTTCCCTTCCTATCTACATCCACTCTGATGGTGGCTTCATCCAGTCTTCTTCTTTTAAATGCTGCCACATGCAGACCTCTCCCAATTCACCGGCTCAGACTTTTCTCCTGGATATTCAACTAACTTGTGACATCTCCACTTGTCATGTCAAGTACAGTAAGTCCTAATCTTTAGACTCATTCCTCCCAGAGTCTTCCCATCTAAGTTAAGGACAACTCATCTTTCAGATGCTCAGACTGAAACCTTAAAGTAATCTTAAAGTATGTTCCCTTCCTCTCACACCCCACATCTGCCAGCAAATCCAGGCTGCACTATCTTCAAATTATTCTAGAATTCATCCACTGCTACCCCCTGGTCCAGGCAACTTCCACCTCTCATGGACTTACATAATAGCCTACAAAAACTGGTCTCTCGCTTCCATCATTTGCTCCCTTCAGACTGTCCTCAACACAGCAAAATGGTCTTGTTAAAAGCTAAATGAGATCATCAACACTCCCCTACTTAAAACCCTCCAATGGCTTCTCTTGTACTTAGACTAAAAACCCCAAGCACTAAAATGCCCTGCCAAGGCCAAGAAGACCTGTCTCTCCACCTTTCGTTCTCTTTATTCCATTCTCTCTGCCTCTTTAGGTTCCTCCAGGAGCCAGCGTGCTCTGACCTCAGGACTTTTGCACTTGCTGAAACCTCCACCCTGGACGATCCTCCCCCAGATATTTACATCTCACTTTCTTTACCTCCTCCACAGTTACCTTCTTACCGAGGCCAACCTGACCTCTAAAACTCAACCCCCTCAAGCACAACCCAGCACG